TGGCCCTGTACCAAGTGCTTTGCACCAATTACCTCACCTCATCCCCCCACAAACCCAGCAGGTAGATGCTATTATTGCCCTCTATGGGAAGAAACAGAGAGGAGACGTGCCAAGTTCAATGTCACACGGTTAGGGGTGAGTTAGGATTGGACGACAGGTTTTTGTGACCCCAGAGCCTCTGCTCTTGAGAACCACTCTTCTGCCTTTGGTAGAGTCAAAAGAAAAAGTGCAGATGACCTGGATTCTCTCCACAGCATCACCAGAAATATGCCTGCTCACATGAGGCCCTGGTTTCCCGATCTGTTCAATGGGGGAATCATAATTCCAACTTCATGGGGTTGCTGTGGGGTCAGGAAGGAGGCAGTGGTGAATATGCACTTGAATAGAGGATGCCTTCTGGGCTTGTGAGGGGCTTGGCCTCTGGATCGGTGGCTCCAACTGATTTTGAGAAACTCTTTCCTCTGAGCACCTGATAAAACACGGGATGTTCTTCAGGGAGTTCAGGGGCCCTGCACCGCCCCACCCTTGGCATGGACCCTCTTTTTTGCTCTGAGAAAAAAGGCCAGCAAGTGGCTTTTTTTGTTTTATGGCTTTGGCTCTCACGTCCCCAGTAACTTGGGCCAGACCCCAAGGTTCATGGGGCCTGTCGTGCCTCCCAGCACAGAGTCCGTGTGCAGCCCCATCTGTGCTGACTTCCAGGGAAGGCTATTAGCAGGACTTCCCCAGAAGGTGGGAGGGCAGTGGCCAGCTGGCTGGGAAAGAATCACCTGGAAAGAGTTAAATGAAATTAGATTCCCTAGGCCCTACCCAGCGGTTCCGATTTAGTAGGTCTGGGTAGGGCTTTGCAGTTTGTAGTTTCAAAAGATTCCCCAGGGGATTCTGACGCAGCCAGCTTGAGAACCACTGATCTAAGGTCTTTACCCAGAATGGAGTTTTATTTCTCTAATGGAATGAAATTTTATTTCACTCTTTCCTTCCCTCTGTCCATCTATCCTGCCATGCCTCTGTCCCTTCATCCACTCACTGTGCACCCAACAAATATTAACTGAACTCCAGCCCTGGACCCAGCACTTTGCATACTGGTGAGCAAGACAAGACCCAGCTTCTGCACTCTGCGGGATACCGCCTTCGTCCTTCCCTGTCTACCTCTCCCTGGAGTTTTCAGAACCTTTCCTGGATGTGGCCAAAGTATTTTCTCCTATAGGAATTTAGAGAATCATGCTTCCAGCTGGGCGAGAACTAAAGGTCTTTGGGTCCCTCCTCCTGCCTGAGAAATCAGTTGTCCCTACCTTTCTCAGATGCTTATTCCACTACAAACACACCTGACTCATTTTAGTTCCTCTCACTTCTGCTTACATCTACCTCCTGTTCCTGCCAGTAAAACTTATGGAGGCCCTCTTGGTACCAGATATTGGGTGCCCGGGTCTTGGGGGCATAGAGAAGAAAGTAAAAGTCCTGGCGCCTGGCAACTCACTGGAAGGATGAGAGAGACAAACCACCAACCTGGGCTAGATGTGGAGGTGTAGGATTGTGATATCACGATGTAATAAGAAATATATATTTGGGGCCCTGGTGCAGCCGCTCACACCTGTAATTCTAGCACTCTGGGAGGCCAAGGCGGGTAGATCTCCTGAGCTCAGGAGTTTAAGACCAGCCTGAGCAAGAGCCAGACCTCATCTCTACTAAAAATGGAAAAACTATCCAGGCTTTGGGCTGGGCGCCTATAGTCTCAGCTCCTTGGGAGGCTGAGGAAGAGGATTGCCTGAGTCCAAGAGTTTAAGGCTGCTGTGAGCTGTGACGCCATGGCACTCTACCCAGGACACAGAGTGAGACTCTGTCTCAAAAAAAAAAAAAAAAAAAAACACAAAAAACAAAAAAAAAACCAGAAAAGAAAGAAATATATTTGGCTTTCATCTCTGGTTTTTGGCACAGAGCTCCTAAAACCCTTATAATTTCCTAAGTGATATGGATGCTAATAGCATCTTTTGTTCTATTACTTGGTCTTTGAATTCAGTTCCCTTAGAGTATTTTTTGTTCTAACGAGGCAACTTTTGGTGGTCTCCTGTATGGGTGCTGTGATCAGGAGCTTGACATTTTCAGCCTTACCCCCTATCCTCCAGGAGGGTTGAAGGCTTGGGAGTTGAGTTAATTACTAATTGTGCCTACAAGATGAAGCCTCCATAAAGACCCCAAAGTATAGGGCTTGGAGAATTTCCAGGTTGGTGAACATACCCCCAGACCAGGAGGGTGATGTACCCCAACTCCAACAGGGACAAAAGTTGTGCTTAGGAATCTTCTAGACTTTGCCCAATGCATCTATTCATCTGGCTGTAAATGTAAGCACGTGTTTTTCTGAGTTCCATAAGCCATTATAGAAAACTGAAACTGGGGAGGGGGTTGTGGGAACTCCCATTTAGTAGACAAGTTGAACAGAATCGTGGATAACCTGGGAACCACTACTTGTAATTGGCACCTGAAGTAGGGGACAGTCTTGTGAGACTTAGCTCTCAGCCTGTGAGGTCTGCACTAACTCTAGGTGGTATCATAATTGAATTGTAGAACCCTCAATTGGCGTCCAAAGAGTCAGAGATCGGGTTGGTGTGAAAAAACTTCCTCATATTTGATGGTCAGAAGTGCTGTGGGAATGATAAAAGAAAAGTGGATTTTTCCTATGCAGGGGTACTCCGGGAGCACAGAGGAGGGGCTGCATGGCGGGGGAGGTGTCTCAGGGGAGGTGACTGGAATCTTGCTGTTTCCTTCCTGTGAAAAACAGAGAGGGTGTACCCCAGGGAATATCCGTTGCTGAAGGAGGCCTTATGTTGCCCAGAAATTCGGGCCCTCTCCAGCTTTCCTACAAGGTCATATTTCTTGGTCTCTGGTTCCCAAGCTGGCTCTTTCTTCCTCATCTTTCTTCACAGACACAAAGCCAGTGATGCCATGCTCGGGGGTGTGTGCAGAGCAGGCATCTGTGCTAGCCTGCAGGCTCCTTGGTGCCTGCCAGCATCCTTCTTGCCTGTCAGCTTCATCTTTGTGGCTTGGACCTTCCCATAAGCTTAGGACAGGGGATCAAGTTTGCAGGATGTGATAGGTGAGGGCATGTCGAGAACCTGGGCATTGGCGGCAACTGTAGCTCAGTGAGCAGGGCGCCGGCCCCATATACTGAGGTTGGTGGGTTCAAACCTGACCCCAGCCAAACTGCAACAGCAACAACAACAACAACAAAAAAATAGCCGGGTGTTGTGTCAGATGCCTGTGGTCCCAGCTACTCGGGAGGGTGAGGCAAGGGAATCGCCTAAGCCCAAGAGCTTGAGGTTGCTGTGAGCTGTGACACCACAGCACTCTACTGAGGGTGACAAAGTGAGACTCTGTCTCTAAGGAAAAAAAAAAGAACCTGGGCATAGCCTAGTATGCCTGGGGGTGAGAGGCTCACTGCTGTACAAGTATCTGAGGTCTGGATGTGGCTCTGCCTATAACTTGCTGCATGACCTTGAGCACTCCACAGGAGCTGCAGACTTGAGGAATCGGAATCTGCCTTTTCACAGGTGCCTGGGTGATTGGTATGGACATTGGAGTTTGGGAAGCCTGCCCAGAAGACTCTCTTCTTGCCATTAGTGCGTGGTTAGGATGGCAATAGTGGTGATTATGGTCAGGGCCAGACCCCTTAGGAGCTTCTCTGTGATCCCCAAGGGATTGAACTAGATGGACTTTGCTGCAATGAGTGCAAAACGGCACCTAGACTCTGGATCTAGCTTTCAGACCAGTTTTCTTTTGACTGATACTATGCTCAGATTCTTTTGGAATAATATGCTGGTGTTTTCTCATATTATTGGAAATTTCTCATCAATATTTAGACTTCCGGCTTTTCCTGAAAAATCAAATGATGTAGGACGTGTTGCCACATTCCACGTGGCAACAATCAGTTTCCCCTATGAGCTTAGAAACGCACAGCCCTACCCCCAGATTCTCTTCTAGTCACTAATTCTTTGAGGATAAAATCCCAAGAGCCTCTTAAAACATGAAAAGATGCTCAGCCTCACTTTTAATATGACAATTACCAATTAAATCTACACCGAGTTGCCATTTTCCACCTGTCTCACTAATAAATATAAAAGCATTTGGCAACAGAATGTGTTGACAAGGACAGAGGAAACTGTTCTGCTCGCATACTAGCAGGGAAGCAAGTGGTGCAGTCTCCAAGATGGACAATCTCTCACTGTCTCTCAGAGTTGCCAGACAACACCTACCCCTTGATCTAATAACACCAGTTCTAGAAGTCTAATGCACGTACACGTGGTTAGTCGTTGTGGCAGTGTTTGTACTAGTTTTAGGTTGGAACTAGCCTAATTACCCATCAGTGGGGGCTGGCTGGGTAAGAGATAGGACAGTCGTACAATTGTGTGGAGCACTTTATGTTATGACATGGAAGAAGCATCTTCAAAATAAATTATTTACTGAAAAAGGGAAGTTGCAGAGCAGCGCACCAGGTCTGATGTCATTTGTACATGGATAAGTACCTGCAGAAAGAGACTCCAGCACCTGGCTAACAACAGTCATCTCTGGGAAGGGGACCTTTGAGCTTGGGGTACAGAGAAAGGAGAGAGTCTTTTCACTATCTACTTTTGTATCTTTTGGACTTTGAACTATATCAATGTGTTACCTACTCAAGGAACAAAAAATTTAAAACTTTCAGAGACTTAGATTCTGTGGTTCTAACGCTGCATGATTCTAATGTTTTATAACTTGGGGAGCTCATCTTTGATGACTCTGGAAGACTCCTCTCACATGAGGCCAAGCTTCTAATAATCCTCTTCCAGGTCTATCTGCTGGGTCTTGTTGGCCCGGATCTGTCCCTAAATTGGGCCACAGCAGCCTGTGTGTGCTCAAGTGGCTCTGGTAGAGGGCTCCCTGCTGGCGTGAAGCAGCCATGTGAGCCCCGGCATCTCCTAGACCTTCGTCCCTTAGGCCCTTCCTCACTTCCTTTGCCTTCTCTGTCCTCCTAGGGGAGCCTTCTCAGTGGTGCGCAGGTGTGTCAAGGTGCTGGCCGGCCAAGAGTATGCTGCCAAGATCATCAACACCAAGAAACTCTCAGCCAGAGGTAGGTGCCTGCCCGGTGCCTGCCCTCTGCCCTGCCTGCCTCCTGGGGCTCTCCTTCCCATCGCCCTTCCCTCTACTGCTGAACTTAGACTTAGGCCCCAGGCCTGCGCCCATGGGTAATGCTGATGGCAGCGCTCATCTTCCTGAAGGTGTCATGAGGAGGAATTTCCCTTTTTCTTTCTCAGGGAATCAAGGCTGGAGGCCACAGCCTCTCCAAGGCAGGCCAAGCTCTCTACTCCCATAAGGTTAAGGCGGCACCAGATGGGACCTCCTTTCCCTGCTCACGTGCCACCCCCTTTCGTCTGTCCCTTCCAGACCTTGCCATCCCCTCACGTGGGTCCTTACACGAATGGCTTTGTCAGCCTTCAGGTCTGAGCTCAAAGTCACGTGCTTTAAGAGGTTTCCCTGACCCTGTGAATTTGAGTTGCCTGTCCCATTTTCTCTCTTTCACTACTGTTTCTTTGTCTTGTGGCTTTCCCTCCCCAGACTCATCCTGTCTAATGGTTAGGTTACTTGTTCAACACCCATCTCCCTTTGGACTAAGCTTCAGAAGCCTGGGCTGCTCTTGGCCCAGCAACCAGGACAATGCCATTAAACTCTAGGTGTGTAGGCTTCAACACACCACTGCTCTCTGGTTCCTAAATTGTTGGTCTGGGGTGTGACCTGGGTTTGGAAAAGACTTCCAGGTAGTGCTAATTTGGAGATGTTTGAGAACCACTGCTCTGGGATCTTTAGAAATGGCCCTAGACCAGCAGCATCTGAGTCACGGAGCTTATTAGTAATGCAGTCTTGCCTGGCATGGTGGCTCACGCCTGTAATCCTAGTTCTCTGGGAGGCTGAAATGGGTGGATAGCCTGAGCTCAGGAGTTGAAGACCAGTCTGAATAAGAGCAAGAATCTGTCTCTTAAAAAAAAAAAAATGCCAGGTACTGTAGTGGGCTTGGAGTCCCAGCTATTTGGAGGCTGAGGCAAGAGGATCACTTGAGCCCAAGAGTTTGAGGTTGCTGTGAGCTATGATGTCATGGTACTCTACTCAGGGTGACAGAGTGAGACTCTGTCAGAAAGAAGGAAAGAAAGAAAGAAAGAAAAGAAAGGCAATCTTGAGTCTTACCCAGACTTAAATACTCCAAATTTGCATTTTAATAAGATGCCTGGATGATTTATATGGACATTAAAGTTTGGGAAGCCCTCCCAGGAGATGTGCTTCTTGTCATTAGTGTGTTTAGAGCAGTCATGGTGATCAATGTGTGGGAGAGGGTTATCTTCAAAGACCCCCCCTCCGCAATCCTCACCCAAAGTGAAACAGTGCACAAGCTTCCCTGGGCCCTGCCTGGGATAAAGAGAGTCTGTTGGGTGTGGTGGGTATAGGTACGGACTGTGAAGCCTGTGGCTTGTGTGGCATGGGGGATGTTATGTGAGAGCTTGGCAGAGTGTATAGGTATTGACAGCTGTGTCTGGACCAGGGCCTGGCAGGTGTGGGTCCGTGGAGGTCTTGTGCAGTAGCTGGTATAGGCCATTCAGGATATTGTCCACAGGTCTCCCAGGAGACCTTATTGTGAGCTGAGTATTGCTGTCTTGCTGCCTTTCATCTCAGGCTCAGTGTTGCTGGGAGCAGCAAGGAGAAGAGACTGAGGAGGCAGCTGGGGGGTAGGGTTATGGTCTCTGAAGGCTCAATGCCCTCTCATGGCATACAATCGGTGTGTAAAGGCCCAGAACTGGGCAGCTGCCAGGACAGGCAGGAAGGCTGGCAGGGGCACTGCCTCCTGCCCAAGGGCCTGGATGGACCTTGTTCTTGCTGTGTGACTAGTGGTGATCTGGTGACCTCTCTGCACTTTGTGCCTCTAGTGATCAAGGGAGATGTCCCAATCCCTGAGATATAGCTGGACAGGACTGGCTTCATGACTTGGGGGTAATGGGCTGAGGTTGCCTCAAGGGGAGGTAAGGTCAGGGATGGCGTCCTCCCTGGATGTCGGGATCTCAGGCTAGGTCACCATACCCTCAGGGCACATCTACACACATGGGCGCACTTGCACACACACATACACACATACACACACCCAGAAGAGACAGATGTGTATGGAAAAGTGGAAGGCCCATTTCTTCTGTCTTGGGAGGTTACCAAGCATGGAGTACAGTGTAGACCCCGGGACATGCTAGGCAATAACCACCAAGCTCCCTTTCTTTGGCAATTTGTTGAGTCTTTGACCTCCTGAAGGAAGCTGGCCCAGGCCTAGGTGAGTGGAGGGTTAGGGTGGGGAGGTTATCAGGGAACCTTCCAGAAAAAGCTGCCAAGTGCCAGCTGCTTTTCTCCCCAGCAGGAGAGGAGGAGCAGAGCTTCTTTTAGCAGGATTCTTTGTTTGCCACTCATCATGCCTTGGGGGCGGGGTGAGGGGTTAATGCTGAATATTTGGCAACAGGCTCTAAATGTCTCCTGCTGGCACTCCTGGGTGACTTCCAGCAGCTCCCAGCAGGGCTTGTGCCCACCTGGGGCCTCTGTCCGTCCTTCTCCAGGAGCAGTGGCTTCCCTTTGCCCGCTCTGCCAGCCTCTTCTGTCAAGTGCTAACCAAACCCCAGAGATATTTGTCTATGTATTTTTAAGTCAGTCTTTAAAAAAAATGCTCATAATATAAACAATTTAAAGAATCCATAAAGAAATTAAATGAAAAGTTAAAATTTTGCCTGTCCCAATCCCTGCCAAATCCCCTTAGGAGATTTATTAAAAATGCAGCTGTCCGAGTTCCACCCATGAGGGTTGGATTCGGTAGGTGAGGCCCAAGTGCCTGCATTCTTAGAACCCTGGCAACAGTGACAATATCTACCTTTTTGCAGGGTAAAGTGTGCTCCTGTGTGTAAAGCTCACCCATGACTTTGGGCCAAACTTTCAGGAAAATGCCCCTTAAAAAAGTAGCTGGCTCTTAGCTGGGAGAGGCACATCTGGGAGGACTAACGCTTCCCTGGTAAATGCAGATTGCACTGCCCTCTCACAGCTGCCCCTTTCCTCTCCTGAGGGAGCTCTTCCCTCCCTCCCACATCCAGGGCTGCAGGTGAGATGGCCTCATACATGGCACGATAGGAGCTGCTGAGGCACGTTCAGGCCTCACATAGACAGGGGCTGGCATGGCGCTCCCGGTCCCCTCCATGTTGCCCTGCATGGCCGTGGCCTGTCCTGCCAGCCCACCACTGCCACCCTCTCCCCAGTTGCAGCGGTCAGTGGAGGCCGCTTTGGCCTGGCCAGCTTGCACCAAATCTTCCCAAACTGGAACCGCGTGTGCCCTGCAGGACCAGGTGGGAAGGTGTGATAGCCACTGGCTCCCCCCTCCCAAGCTATACTACCCATGTATAATACTCATTCTTATTTTTTTTTCCCTCAAAAATTTGGACAAAAAGGTACACATTATATCTGGAAAAACATAGAGTAATACAGAGGCATCACATTCCCGCCTGCTGGGTTGTCTAGTGCCTCCTAACCTTGTTCTTCTCAGGGCACACAAAGAGTTAACATTTTAGAACTCACTGGGGCACATGTCTGATCCAGCCAGAGGTGACTGACTTGGGTATTGTGACTGCCACAGACACACTGTCCATTTCAGGCATGGAAGGGTCACTCGCTCAGTTCTCCAGGGCCAGTCTCAGGACACTGTGTGGGAAGCATGGCTCATCCAGCCTGCACCTGAGCCTCTGAGGGGATATGAGACACATGGTTTCCATTTCTCCCATCCTTCTCCCTGCCCCCAGTCTGGCACTCTTAGTCTTTGGGATTATTTCTCTAACCTCTCAGGATCTGCTGATGCCCTGTGCAGGAAGGGGACATTTCCCGTTCCCAGCCTTGAGGTCTCTTTTCTCCCTGGGTGCATGTGCCTCCTCTGGAATCCTGTGCCCATCTGCCTGCTGGAGCCCAGTCCCCTCTGGAGGCTGAGTCCTATAGTCTGCCTGGGCCCTGTGCTGTCCTGTAGGGACTATCTGGCCCCAGGGACCTCACTCCGAGTGTCTAACCACCTCTGCCTGCTGAATCCTGGGCAGGGATGTGCCCTTAACCCCTACACCCTGGAGGTGACCCAACCATCAGACAAGGAAGGAGGAAGGGAGGGGTAAGTTTCCTAAGATGTCATTGTGGGCATTAAGGTAGCCCTCCCAGGTACCCAGGCAAGAGGCTAGAGGCTCCTGGCTTCCCTCAGACCTCTCACCACGTGCAATTCTGCCAAGCTGGATGGATTGATTCAGCAATTAATTAATTATTACGATGGGCACCAATATAGTATAGTAATTATGCACATGGATTGAAATCCCAGCTCTACTGCTTGTTTCCTCGGGGGCCTTGGACAAGCTGCTTAGCAGCTCTGTGCCAGGTCCTAGGGACGTAGCAGTGACAACTGAGGTCTTGCTCTTGCTATGCTTGTTTTCTAGCAAGTGAGACTGAAGAGAACACTAAACACATAAATCAGCTGGGTAGTTTTTGGTGTGGGCAAGTGTTATAAAGAAAATAAGACAGCATAAGGGGGAAACGGTGAGGCAGGAGGGACACTCTCAGAAAAAGCAGCCAGGGAAGCTCCCGGAGGAGGCGACGTTGCACCGGGACTGGCCTGATGAGTAGGAAGAAGCCCTGAGAAGACCCAGGGGAAGAGCCTTCCAGGAAGAGGGCACAGCAGGTGCAAAGGCCCTGAGGTGGGAAGGGGCTCCATGCACCTAAGGCCAGAGAAGAGGCCAGTGTGGCTGGAGCTTCATGACTGAGATGAGGTGGGACCCAGCAAAGTCTTGCTGGCTGTAGTGAGGCGTCTGGATTGTATTAAAAGTACATTGGGAATCTGCTGGAGAGTTGGAAACCAGGGAGTGATGAGATTTAATTTATATTTGAAAAAGAACATCTTGGCTGTGTGGACAATTGTGGAGAGTGGAGGCAGAGTCCCAGAGTTGGGGGCTCTGAGTTTCAATAAGGCTCAGCCAACGTGTCTAGTGATTTTGATGGAGGGACTCCTCTTTTGTCATCAGGCCTCAGTTTCCCAATTTGTGTAGCAGAGCAAGGCTACAGAAGTCAAAAGAAGCATGGTTCCTATGTGTCACGAAGTTCTCTGTATATGAGAAAACGGGGACATTGCAGACAGGGTTACAGAAATATGTGTATACTGAATATGTTTATGTTCAGCAAATTAATACTTTTCACAGTAAAAGTTACAACATAGGGTAACTGTGTCATGCACAAAATGATGAAAAGATTTAGGCTGGGTGCAGTGGCTCATGCCTGTAATCCTAGCACTTTGGAAGGCCAAGGTAGGTGGATACCCTGAGCTCAGGAGTTCAGAGATCAGCCTGAGTAAGAGCAAGACCTTGTCTCTACCGAAAATAGAATAACTAACGGGGCATTGTGGCAGGCACCTGTAGTCTCGGCTATTTGAGAGGCTGAAGCAAGAGGATCGCTCCAACCCAGGAGTTTGAGGTTATTGTGAGCTATAATGCCACACACAGCACTCTACCCAGAGTGAGATTATGTCTCAAAAAAAAAAAAAAAAGAAAGAAAGAAAAAGAAAGAAAGAAAAGATGAAAAGATTTATAAATACAATCAGTTCCTAGCATTTTCGGCAGTGAGGTCTGGTAACCAGACATAAAGGATGATCAATGTTTTCTATCATGTCAGTTTACTCTGTTCCTGGGTAACTTCATAGTGAGAAAACGTGAAATTTTGGATTAAGGCCCCTGGCCCCAGGGATGAGTAGCCTAGGCCAGAAGACCCCTGTCGCTCTGATAGGGCCGACCTTGACCTGCCTGAGTTCTGGTTCTCTGTGTGTGGGTGAAATGGGGTAGGTAGGGCCCAGGGTGTGGAGCAGAGGGAGGGGCAGCCTTTCCTACTGAGCCCCCAGCTGGCCAGGCCACCTCCCAGGAGCCCAAAACCCTGGCCTGGAGGATTTAGGCGGAAGGAAAAGAATGTTCCTCCACCCAGCCCTACCTCCCCTTCCATTGCTTGCAGCCAGTCTTCAGCTAGGGAGTTGAGCCTATGGAAACAGAATTGTACTTAATTGCTTTGCTTATGGAAAAGCCACCTTTCAATATTGATCTTGGCTTCTGTAGCCCTTGGAGGATAGCCAGTGATTACTATAGTGGAGTGGGTGCTCGGAGGCAGGGGCTGGGACTTTCTCCATCCCCATCACCCTTCCTGGCACCCCCCTGCTCTGGAAGGGCCCTTCCGATACCCGGCTTCTAGTCTTGGCTTGCCTCTGAGTGTCTGCATGGGTTCCCTTCTGTGGGCCTTGATTTTCCCATTGGGAAACTGGATGCAGGTGGAGGTGGAAGTTGTGAATTGCCACGTGAAGAGCAATATATCTAAGGTCTGACTGCCTGGGTGCGAAGTGTGGCTCCACCACTCACTGTGGCTGTGACTTTGGGCAGGTACTTAACCTCTCCAAACCTCTATTTCTTCCTCCTGTAAAGCCAGAAAAATGATAGTACCTCCCTCAAAGGTTCATCGCGAAGGCTTAAAAGACATATAAAGCACCCTGCACAGTGTCTGGCACAGAGTAAATATTTTGCACTTGTTACTGGTTTCTTTTTTTACAGTTTGTTATTTTAAATTAAGGCATTAACTACTGAATTGTGAGGACAGGGCAAAAAGGGGATTGAGAAATGCAACCCCCTGATGCCTTGGGTTGCTCAGGCTGCGTTTCCTCATTTGTAAAATGGGAACAGTAATGCTGCTGCCCAGGAGTGCTGGGTATACTGAGTGGGGTCATGGGTCTGACTGTTCCCAGCAGCCTGAGGATTGGAGGCCACAGGAGGCAGATCCTGAGTAGGGCCTCTCTCCCAGGGGATTTGATAGAAGTCCTGAAAGGCAGCTGGGTCAGTTCTACCTGAAATGGAGAACTACCCTGCAGATTCTTTGGAGCTCTCTGTGCTCTTAGTCCCAGAATCTTCTAAAAGGGAAGTGGCTCCTGGGAATTAATTCAGGTCTTCTGGAGGGAATAGTCACTCCTTTAGATAGGTGCATTCATTCGATCATTTGTTCTTTCATTCAGTTATTTCTTGAGCACTTCTTAAGTGCCAGGCATTCAGGCAGGTGACGGGTACAACAGAGACCAAGTCCCTGCCCTCAAGGATCTAGAGACATCTGTCTGGGGGGCCTGAGTGCATAGAGGGGCAGGCCACCAGGGGCCAGAGGACATCTAAGGATAGGGAGGCATGAATGAGGGTCAGCAACCCGACAAGTGGGAGGTGAAGGAATGTTCCAAGCTGAGAGAACTGCATGTGTGATTGTTTTTCTCCCAGAGTGAGGGGAGAAAAACCCTGCCAGCGGGGTGTGGCTGGGGGTGGCAGCAGGAGCCTGACCTGGGGGAGTTCCGGGTTGCGTGGGGCTTGGGCCTTACAGAGGAAGGGGCTTGGGGGGTGCCCCTTCTTTGAGAACCCTGGAAGGAGAGGGAGATGGACATACCTGAGTCACTGCAACTCAGGCCTCCCCGTTTCCGCTGCATGCCCCTGCCTTCCGGGAGAGCTCAGAGGCCCTGGCCGAAAGGTTAGCTTTCCCAGCTCCCAAGGCTGCCCTGGGAGGGCGGAGATAGTACCAGGCTGTGAGGAGGGTGAGATGGAGGGTTCCTCCCTCACCATGGACTCACCTGAACATCTCCGTTTCAGACCATCAGAAGCTGGAGCGAGAAGCCCGCATCTGCCGCCTGCTGAAGCACCCCAACATCGGTGAGCCCTGGGGCCTGTGGGGGTGTGGTGGGACTGGGCCTGCTCCCTGCCCGTCCTGGCCTGTGGGCGTGTGGGGGTGGGGTGCAGAGCAGCTGCTCTCTTCTCCGGGATGGAGGCAGTGGAGATGGGAAAGGGGGCGTCTTTAATGGTTTCCACATTCCTCAGAGCCAGCCTGTTTCGGGGGAAGGTGAAGAAAGGGCCCTTCCTCCCATCCCACACTGCCGGCAGCCTCCTTCAGCAGCCTCCTTCGGAAAAGCTGTTTCAGGAAAACTCCTAAAGCTGTGGGATAGATGAAAATAGGCTGGCCAGGGCGGGGTGGGGGGAGGGGAAGCTTGGCCTTGGCAGGTGTGGCCCACTCCCCAAACCCACCCCCATGCTGAGTCAGCCTGTGCCCACCTCCCTAGACCTGCTGCCCACCTGCCTCACAGAGGCAAGTTCCAACTTGGCCTGCCCCCAGCGGTGGACAGAGCACAGGCTGCAGAGAGAGGCTGGGGCACAGTGGGCAGCAGCACCCACAGGGATGGGCCCTGAAGCAGCATCTGGCTGACCTTCCCTCCCTTACCCTTGTGCAATTGGGGGGCCTGTTGGGGTCCAGAGTCATGCTGGGAGGAAATGTGGCCTTTAGATCTAATTCTGTCAGGGAATGGCTGTGTGACATTGGGCAGGAACAAGACCCTCTCTGAGTCACTTTACCCCATCTTCACAAAGAGACGACTGTCTGGACCAGAGCTTCTCCTTTAAGCACTCAGGCATCTGTGCAGAGGTAGGCTCTGACTCAATGGTCTGAGGTTTTGTAAGTCTAACACTCTGAGGAGCTGCCAAGGCTGCTGATCCATAGACCACACTTGGAAGGGAACCTCTAGGTGCTCTCTAAGGACCATTCTAATTCTGACAGCCACCACGCCTTCTTACTTGGGAAGGAAGCATCTCTCCCTGCCCAGGGCCCCAAGGGTTAAGTCTCCTGCCAGAGAGAAGCATCTCCATCTGCTATTTATACCCAGAAGGCACCTCCCCTTCCCTGCACAAACAGCAGCCAGAGCCTCCAGGGCCAGTATCAGAGAAGAGGCAGCAAGGCGCTAGCAGGGAGGAAGCCTGGTTGAACCCAGTCCCTGAACTGCTAACGTCCTTGGTCGGTTTCTGCCAACCCTGGGCCTCCAGCTTCCCAACTGCATGATGGAGGGGTTTGTGAGTGATGTCTGATTGTAAAATTCCATGGTTCGATAAGACTCAGCTCCAGAGGAGGGAGGCAGGGAGTGTGTGTGTGTTGCTGCACAACCTTGGCTGTCTCAGGTCAACAATGCCTCCTCCTGTTTGTGCCTCCCTAACCCTCTCATTCCCAGCTATAATGGGGAGCTATAGGCTCTGGAGCTGACGCTGGGTTTGTTGCTTAATTGCTGTGTGATCATGGGCATGTTGCTTAACCACCCTGAAGACGAGTTTTATCTGAAAAATGGAAGCGATACTTAACCTCACATGATTGTGATGATAAGATGGAGCAAATCATGATGACAGTTCCAAGGCAAATGATTTATCATCATTAAGCTGCCCCCCTTTTCCTCAATCTACACCTTCCTATAGAACAGCAGTTCTCAACTTGTGGGTCATGACCCACAGGAACTGTATTAAAGGGCCATGGCATTAGGAAGGTTGAGAAGCACTGCTATAGAACAATCTTTTACCTGAAGACATCCTTTTGCCTGAAGCTCTATAAAACTGTTGTTTCTATGAGCCATCAAAATTTTTTGTCATCACCGGAAGCATATACATTACATGGTGTTAAGAGAATGGGTTTTGCAGTCAGACACACCAGGTTTCAATCTCAGCTGTTTACTCGGTGTTTGCGCTTGGGCAGGCGATGAACCTCTCTGAACCTTAGTACCCACTTCTGTGAAGTGAGGATACAGTACCCACCTTTGTGGACTGTTGGGAGGGTCTAAGGTGACATGGCAAGTAAAGCACTTAGCACAAGGCCTAGCATGTGTGAAAGCTCACAAATGGTAGCTACCATCTTCATCACCTTCCTTCATTCAGTCACCCAGTGTCAAGTGTATGGTAGATCCACCTAGTGCTGGGGTGTGTGTTAGACACTGAGAATGTACAGGGGAAATGAGAATGGGGTAGGGAGTAGGGAGGCTGACGTACAGGGCACTAGAGAGCAGAGAGGAGCAATCAGCAGACGGGAACGCTCAGAAGAGTCTTGAGCTATTGCCAAGGCTGAAAGTGTCCTTGGAGAGTCCCCCTTCCTGAACTTCCAAGAATCTCAAGTCAGAGTAAGTTATAATTGTCCCACAGAAGTGCAAAGAGGTGTAGCTGTGAGTACAGAACCTGAGAGGTGAGTCTATTCCTGGAGAAACTAGACTGAGTCTTCATCGGCTAGTTTGGTGAATCCAGACAAAATTATTGGTTGCTGCTTCTGTGTGGCCATAGCCCAATTCCCAGGGGCTCATGTCAGGAAGGTCCCTGCCTCAGCTCAGGTCAGTCCAACTGTGCCATGCACAAAGCATTAACCTCCCAGATCATGCCTGGGGCAGGATAATACCCTGCTTTCTGAACCATCACCGCTCGCAGATGGGCAGATCCCAGAAGGCCACCCCAGGGTGCAGGGGACTTGGGCTGTTATAGGGACACCTTGAGAGTTCAGTAGATCTTTCAGGGTAGGGAAGGGAAGTGTGGTTGGTCAGTGATGAAGGTGACAATCTGTTGATTTATTGAGCTTTCCCTAGGTCTAAAAGCTTTACAAAAATTGTCACATCAATGCTCACACCAGTGGTATTAGCAGTAGTGTTAGGAATGGAGGCTCAGAGAGGTTAGGGCATTTGCCCGTAGTTGCACTACTAAGTAAGAGGTGGATCTTGGAGGCAAACCCTGCAAGTCTGACTCCACGGCCCACGTTCTCATTCTGTTTACCTTCCCAAGTGGACACCACAAATGTGGTGTCTGGGGCACACGCAGATAAGGAAACAAGCACTATTTTTCCACCTCCCAGAAAAAAAATTGCGACTGATGAAAATACTATAGGAATGTCAGAAATTTGCGAATTCAGAAACATAAATGAAAACAAGGTTCCAGATTTGTTTGCTCTATGAAAATATTTTAAAAAGTCAAAAGTGACAGCATAATTCAATGTGCATAGACTTGCCAATCACCCCACCGGGAGGCAGGATTGTTCCTGTAGCAGGTGGGCCTTGAATCTTGCCTTTCCTTTTGGGTAGAGTTGTTCCTCAGGGGGGCTTTGATGGATGGGAGGGGAGGCTTTGTGTATGAACACAGTAGTGAAATAAAGAGTCCTTGTCTCCTGGTGAGGAGGTGATTTGCCTCCCCTCAGGGACTAACACTGACACTAGTACTGTGGCACAGGTGGTGCACTGCCTAAGTTGGGGCTCAAATCCAGCCCCTCATCTGGCTGCTCAGAGGGGCAGCCTTTTATAATCAGCAGAAAGACAACATCCGAGTGAGAGTTAGCTCTGGAGAAAACCTGCCTCAATTCAGGACATCTCCCTAAACCCTGAGGAACTTCTCTAAGGGGCCTGAGGCCTCTGATAAGAGGTGGATCTGGGACCCGAGTCTTCTTGGGGATCCTTTCAAAGCCCTTTCTGAGATGAGCCTGGCTGCAGCTTGGCTTCTCAGAGCTTCTCAATGCAGGAGAGGGAAATTAAAGAGCACTGCCCTCCAGAACAGACAGAAAGTGTCTACTCTCCAAGAGATCACCGGGAGGGAAACAGGGAGAGGAAAAGGCCTTTATTAAAACTTTATCTTGAAGGCTGAGCATATTACTCACGCCTGTAATCCTAGCCCTCTGAGAGGCTGAGGCTGGTGGATTGCTTGAGTTTAGGAGTTCGAGACCTGAGCAAGAGCAAGACCCCTGTCTCTAAAATTAGCTGGGCATTGTGGTGGGCTCTTGTAGTCCCACCTACTTGGGAGGCTGAGGCAAGAGGATCACTTGATTCCAAGGGTTTGTGGTCACTATGAGCTATGGTGTCCCGGCACCCTACCCAGGATGACAGAGTGAGACTCAGTCTCAAAAACTAAAATAAAATAAAAATTAAAAAAAATTTTACCCCACTACACTAATGATGCAAGTTAATTGTAAATGAGGACCCAAATACTTTTAAAAGCATCTACTACAACCTCACCACCCAGAGCTAACATTTTATGATATATGCTTCCATATGTTATATAAGCACCTTCTCAAGTACTGTACACCTAAACACATCATCTCAGGTCAGCTTTCCTAGGAGCAGAGCCTGCGATAGGGATTCGGGTGCTGTTAGCAGCCAATACTCCTAGCAGCTGGGGAAACAATACACAAACTTACCAAAGGGATCTGGGCAGGGCATGGATGTAGAATTGCCAGATTTTACAGACAAAAAATAAGTTAAATACACATGTACATTTTAAAAATTAAGCCCGTATTTACTCTGAAATACTGCAAAAAGTTAAAATAAGTTAACGAGGCCAGGCATGGTGGCTCATGCCTATAATCTTAGCACTCTGGGAGGCCAAGGCAGGTGGATTGCTTGAGCTCACGAGTTTGAAACCAGCCTGAGCAAACACAAGACCCCCGTCTCTACTAAAAATAGAAAAACTGAGGCAAGAGGATCTCTCGAGCCCAGGAGTTGGAGATTGCTGTGAGCTATGACGCCTTGGCACTCTACCCAGGATGACAGCTTGAGACTCGGTCTAAAATAAAACAAAATAAAATAAAATAAGTTAATGAACAAAGGAATGGTTAGCAACATAGGAAACCAAGTACAGAAAAATATTAATGAAAATCTAGATTCTAGATAAGAAATTAAAACAGCAATATATATTATGTGTATATATATATATTTTTTTTTGTTTGTTGTTTATTTGTTTGACAAGAGTCTCACTATGTCTCCCTTGGTAGAGTGCTGTGGTGTCACAGCTCACCCCAACCTCAAACTCTTGGGCTTAAGTGATTCTCTTGCCTCAGCCTTCTGAGTAGCTGGGATTACAGGTGCCCGCCCCAACGCCTGGTTTTTTTTTTGGTTGCAGTTGTCCTTGCTGTTTAGCAAGACCAGGGCTGGGCTTGAACCCACCAGGCTCGGTGTTTGTGGCTGGCACCCTATTCCCTGAGCTACGGGGGCTGAGCCAAAAGCAGCAGTGTATTATATGTGTTCTTAAGATTTTACTTTAAAATATACTTAAAGTATCTTTCAGTTATTATTTACAAGTGTGTATCATCATTTTTAAATGTTTTAAAATTTCATTTAAATTTGTGTCCCCTTCATCTTCCATCTCTGGTCCTCATTCCCTTGCTCCTATAGAGCACCCATTCTGGGGTATGTGACATCCCATTCTCATCCACTCTCCAAATTTTGCAAGAGCCAAATGAGAGTCATAAACAATTCAGTGGACTCACTACTCAGCCAGAAATACATGCACAAGGCAAAATTCAGATGGCAGTAGCGTTTGCAGTGATAAGTGCGTCTCCCCCTATAACCCAGCTCCCTCGCTTCTCCTCCCTAAAGGCACCCCCAATGCCTGCTTCTCTGTATTCTTGCAGAGAGACTTATGCCATATATAAACTTAGATACATCCTTTTTAAAAAGTACTACGCATACTGTTTTGCACTTGGCTTTTCCACCAAACAACATAATTTGGATACATAACTGCCGCATTATTCTAACAGCTGTGTCATTTTCAATTGTGCGGATAGATCATAATTCACTGAGCCAGCACCCCACTCCATGGACATTTTTAGGTTGTGGTGCAGGAAGGATGTGAGCCTTGCCAGTAGCTGACAGGGTGCAGGTCCCCCAGAGTCAGCCCCAAGCCCTCAGGCCCTTCCTCTCAGTAGCTCAGAGGGTAATCCTGGGAGTTTGGACTCTAGGGAGCTTTGCCTCCTTCTTGGTAAATGAGGTGTGAAGAGATGACAGCTTATCAGCATGCCAGAACTCAGAGACCTTGTCACTCGTGCCTCCAGCCTCCACGCTCTGTTATCTCCTCAGACCTGGGAGCAGAGCAGGGATATTAGCTCAGGGCCAGCACTGAGTATGCACCAACTATGTGCCTCTTGAAACTCTCACAACAAACCTGCAAATCCAGGAGTTTCATTCTCATAGTCCAAACAAGGAAAGAGAAGCTCAAAAAGACCTAGTAACTTGCTTGAAGTCACACAGCTAGGATGTGGCAGAGATGGGGGCCACAAGCTCTTTCTATGACTCCAGCATGCCCAGCAACAAAACTGAGTGTTAGGGAGGGGACCAACTTGGACCAAGGCAGACATCTTTAGCCTTAAATTTCAGACTTCTTTCGATAACGCCCGTGTTTTGTGTGCACTTGATGTGTTGAGCTCTTACTTGCCTGGACAGTGAGTAAGGCAGGCAGGGGCCGAGGCCCAAACAGGCCACTCTCTAGCCATGCAGTATGGAGTATCTTGACCTCCCCCCAACAGCAGCTTCTTTACACTGGGGTTGCCATAGCAACTCTTGCAAGAGGGCTGTGAGGATGTCAAGTGAGATAGCCTAGTGCCTGGTATACAATTTGTGTACCCTGAACCTAGTTTGTGTTCACTGACTGTCCGGAACATTGGGGTGTTGGCTGTAGGAGGGATGAGAGGGAGGGAGGTGTGGGGAGCAGTGTGTCCTGATGTAACCGACTGCCTTGGCCCTCCCACAGTCCGACTCCATGACAGCATCTCGGAAGAGGGACACCACTACCTGATCTTTGACTTGTGAGTTTGGCCCCACCCTAGGGTGTGCCAGGGGTGTCAAGGGCAGCCTGAGCAGGGATGATCTCACTGGGCTCCTTGGCCTGAAGGGTCCCAGATGCCACTAGGCTGGGCTGAATTCCTTTTTTGCATCCACAGTTTCCCCAAATGTGGTAGGCCTGCCACCCAAGCAAGTTGTTGGTTTTCCTGAAACACCAACAAACACTTTTAGCTTTCATCCTGTATTTATTTTTGTTTCTCTTCTATTTGTGGCCAGTGATGCTGGTTTTCCATTTGCAGTGGCAATATAAAGTTTCTTTTTGGGATATGTTTAATTTTTTAAAGATAGTCGATTGGATGAAAAGCAGTAATGAAATGATAGGCCTCAGGGGTTCGTGGGATGGCAGTGAAAATTAGCCATGAGACTGGTCTCGTAGGTAGAACAGCCTTGAGATGTTGATAAAGGGGGAGGCAGTGGGCTTCCTAATGAACTCAGTGATGGGTTCTGAGTGTCGCCCACCTCTGGACTCCAGCCTGGTCCCAGTAGGGAGAAGGAGTGGGAAGGGCGGTCAGCAGAAGTGTGTAACAGGGTTACCCCAGATGCCCTCTGGGCCCCTCCTTTTGTGGTTGAGGTCCTGAGGTCCTTGGACCCCATCCTTAGCTTCTGCCTCTATGGTGATTTCATGACCATCTCTCCAGGGTCACTGGTGGAGAGCTGTTTGAAGACATCGTGGCCCGGGAGTATTACAGTGAAGCAGATGCCAGGTGAGTGCCAGGTACTGCAGGCCATGGTGCCTGGGGATCAGCCACTGTCAGCTCCCCACGGGAGGCCTGTGCTTGCACCGCTGTGACCCCTTCCTCTCTCTCTCCCTAGTCACTGTATCCAGCAGATCCTGGAGGCTGTGCTGCACTGCCACCAGATGGGGGTGGTGCACCGGGACCTGAAGGTGAGCAACCCATGTGGATGTGGCTCACCCCGGGAGCCTGCCCACCCCAGGAGGCCCCCCGCCTTCTGTGCTTCCTTCCTGCAGAGCAGAGCAGAGTATTGCTGGCAAACTCCTATAATGTCCATGAGTTAGGCTGGAAACAGGGTAGGCAGGAATATTTTCCCCACTGTTCAGATGAGGAAACAGCTCAGAAAGGTAGAGCAGTTAGGTTTGGGCCCCTGATCTCCCATCTCCCAGCCCACGTGCTTTGTGCCAGGCCAGGTGAGATGCAGTTAGACCACTAAGGCTGGCAACGGTAGGGTGGGGAGGAAGGTAGGCAGGGCCCTAGGCCCAAGCAGGCCACTTTCTAGCCACGCAGTATGGAGTATCTTGACGCCCCCTAAGCAACAGCCTCTTTACAATGGGGTTGCCATAGCAACCCTTGCAAGGGGGCTGTGAGGATATCAAGTGATAGCCTAGTGCCTGGTATACAGACACATTGTTACTTTTGTTCCTGAGTCTCTGGCAGGCTGGGAGAGAAGGAAAACAGGACTCTGGACCCTTGGAGTCCTCCCTCTTCACATCTGAAGAAGGAGATGGACAGAACTCAGCAGGTGTGGAGTCGAGTCTGGCACTAACTAGTTGCACAGCCCCGCCCTATCAACACAGACCTAGTGGTTCTCCTCTGCTAGGCCTCAAAGCATCAGCTGTTGGTAGCTCATCTTGTCCCTGTTTTGTAGAGCAGGAAACTAAGGCCTGAAGAGTCCAAGGGATTTGCCCAAGGGCATGCCATTCAGTTGTCCTGGTCTTCTGACCCCAGATCTAGTGACCTTGGGAGTCTGGTGTCAAAAAGCCATTCTATGGACGGTGCCTGTGGCTCAAAGGAGTAGGGCGCCAGCCCCATATACCAGAGGTGGCAGGTTCAAACCCAGCCCCAGCCAAAAAAAAAAAAAAAAGAAGAAAAAAAAAAGCCATTCTATCCCGCTCCTGCTTTTGCACAGCAACACCCAGGGTGACCCTACCAGGTATCCCACAAACTTTTGCGTTATGGCCTTCAGAAACAATGCATTTGCTTTCCACAGGGTAGCCCCTTGACCCACTGGGGAGCACCCCTTCCATCTTTCCTGCTGTGGGAGCTTTGCCCTGAGTCGCAGTTCTGCCATTTAGAACCACACAGAGATCAAGTCTCTAGATTGGAACACCCCTAGAGAGACTTGGCAGGGTTGTCACAGCTCCTAAGTCTCCTGCAGGCTATACACATCATTCCCACCAGAATGTGGTTCCCAGGGTACCCTTCGCATCCTGGGTACCCTCCCTGGACACCCTCTCTGACATGCTTCAACCAGTCCAGTTCCCTCTTTGGGGTACAGGGCTCAGAATGGAACCCCTGCCCACTTCTGACTGTTGTGGGCAGTCTGTGGTATCTCACCTGAGCCCCAGATGAGTTCTCTGTGGCTCCGTCTAGACATATAGGCAGGTTTATACTCAAAGAGGTCTCTGGCCAGACCTCAGGACAGCTTTCCCTGAGGGCCTGTTCCCATTATAGCTACAGCCCCTGAATGGGAGGAGGAAGGAGGAGAAGCAGCCCAAATTTAGGCCACTCTGGATACACTAATTAGTGACACATTCATCAAATCAGGGCAAGACAGCCACCTAGACCCAGGACAGGTTGGGAATGCAGTCCCCAGAGGACAAAGGAGGCCTTAACAAGCCAGGCAGAGGAAGTTATACTTGTTTGGGTCCATCTTAGCTTTGGACAGTGAAAGGGGAGAGACTCTTTGAAAGTCTCATTAGAGATGGAGGACAGAGGAGGATGGGAAACCAAGAGTCCAGACATGCTGAGCCCCTCCCCAGGCAGAAAACATGAATGCTAAGGCTATCAAGTGCTTACTGTGGGCCACTGCGAAGTACTTTACAATGATTATCTCAATTAAACATGCACCACCCCATAAGGTAGGCATTTTCCTGAGAGGAAACTAAAGCTCAGAAAGTAAAATAATTTGCAAAAATTTCACAGCATAGAAGTGGCAGCGCTAGGATTAGAAGCCAGGACTATCTAAGTGCAGAGACCACACTCTTAGCATCTCTCTGTCCTTAGCTCCACAAGGGGCTACATTCCCAACCTGGAGGAAAGCCAGCAGAAAGAGTAGGAATTTGGGGGGTTGGTGAAAGTCAGTAGCCTCAATGGCCTAGAGGCCAGGTATAAGGCCTTCCGTAGGTTGGCTGCTGATCCTATGTACAACCCCACCCATCTTTCAGCTTCAAGTGGTTAAGATGGAGTCAGACTTTGCCTTGATCCTGAGTGATCTTGGTTAAGTCACTTCAACCTCTCTAAGCCTCAGTATCCTCATCTTTATATATTTAAAATAATTTTTTTTTTTTTTTTTTTTTTGGTAGAAGACAAAATCTTGCTATGTTGCCCAGGCTGGTCTTAAACTCCTGGCTTCAAGATAGCCTCAAGATAGCTGACTCAGCCTCTCCAAATGCTGGGATTATGGGCATGAGCCTCCATGCCTAGCCTTCATCTTTATACATATAACAAATACTTATTAAATGCTTGCTATGTGCTCCCCCCTCCCCACTCCCCCCCTGAGCTAAGGACAGATAAGGAACTCACATTCCACAGGGCTGACAGACAATGGACAAGTGCACAGACAGATAGAAGAAACATTACAAATTACAATGAAGCCTAGAAGGAGGAACTAAGACAGAGGATACCTGAGGCCTCCTTCTCTATAGAGTAGTTGGGGAGGACCTCTCTGAAGGGGTGATATGAGAATGAGAGCCAGACAAAAAGAAACCAGCCCGGAGGAGTTCATGGGGAGAGCAAATCAGGCAGGGAAGGTGAAGTGCAGAGGCCCTGAGGTAGGAACAAGTAGGGCTTAGTAGGAAAGCTGCTGTGAATAAAGGGTATCATGACACCTACCCCACAGGGTTGCTGAGACGATAAGTGAAATGATGCATATGGAACACATAGCTCAGTGGCTCGCACATGGTAGTGGCGCAGTAGATTTTGCTCTTTTTCTTATTGCAATGGTGGCTACACCAGCACCACCCCTGCACCCACCCTCACCTCAGCCCCAGCTGAATGGTGGAGAAAGCATCCTGTCGTCACAGATGAGGGCCCTCTCACAAAATAGCCCCCTCTCTGAGGACTGAAGCTCAGGATTCTGTGGCTAGGGCTGGAGGTGGGGTCTGGGACATTGGAGTGTCCAGCCGTTCTTCCTATAAGCCCAAGCCCCAGGGGTGAGGTTCTGAATCTGCTGACTGTCTATTGGCCCTTTCCTCCCCCTACTCCCTCTTTTCTCTTCCTGGATAGCCCGAGAATCTGTTGCTGGCTTCCAAGCTTAAGGGTGCTGCAGTGAAGCTGGCGGACTTCGGCCTGGCCATAGAGGTGGAAGGAGAGCAGCAGGCATGGTTTGGTGAGTGGGGTGGGCTGGCAGGGGAGATCACATATTGGCCTCTAGGAAAACTCCACCTAAGCGAGGTGGTTGGAGATGACTATGGGGCCAGCCAGGGCCCAGAGAGCAGACCCCCTACCCCTCCGAGCCAGTGGGTAGCACCCATCCTATCTCCCTGGGGCCAGGCACAGAGGACACGGTTTTCACTAAAACGGTAGCATGGCTGCTTCATGTGAACACACACCCGCACTGTTCCTGAGGGGCTTCCATAGGGTTCTCCCAATAGCCTGGGTACTAGAGATTTTTATCCTGAGAGAAAACAGAGGCTAAGAAACTTGGAAAAGGTCAAGGAATTTTAAAAAACCGGATCATATGATCCAGCGCACTTTGGGATTTTGACATAACTGAGTCCCTTTCAGTTATCTGGGGCTACTTTGGAATGGGTGATATTGGTCAGTGATTAAGAGCCAGAGCCCTGGCTCAGCGCCTGTGGTTCAAGTGGCTAAGGCGCCAGCCACATACACCTAAGGTGGTGGGTTCGAATCCAGCCCGGGCCCGCCGAACAACAATGATGGCTGCAACCAAAAAATAGCCAGGTGTTGCGGCGGGCACCTGTAGTCCCAGCTACTTGGGAAGGTGGAGGCAGGAGACTCGCTTGAGCTCAGGAGTTGGAGGTTGCTGTGAGCCGTGATGCCACGGCATTCTACCCAGGGTGACAGCTTGAGGCTCTGTCTCAAAAAAAACAAAAAAAGCCAGAGCCCTGAGCTGAAATCCTAATTCTGCTACTTACAAAGTATGACTTTGGGGAAGTCATTTCACCTGTCTTGTGTGAGGCTTCATTTCCTCATCTGTAAAATGAGGATAATAATAGTGTGTTCCTCAAGAGCAGCATGAGGATTAAATGAACCAGTACGCAAAGGGGTCAGCCCAACGCTTAGTATACATACTCAGTAACTAGTACTATTCCTGTGATTACTTGTTAGAATACTTTGGGTGTTCATTATTTCAGTTCATCCTCTCAACAACATCAGGAAGCATTTGAGATAGAAATCCCTATTACCTTTTTGACAGATGAGGAAACAGAAGCCTCGAAGGCAAAGAGACCTGTAGGATTTAGGGGCAAAGCAAGAGCTAGGATAGGCCTCCTAACATTTCGTGACCAGCTCCTGCAAGGGAGTAGTGGGCAGGGTTTAGCTCTCAGCCTGGAGCTTATATAGCATGTACATTTCACCTTGAGGAGCTCCATAATCTATTACTGTGGAGTGGTGAGTGGTGACAGGTGTGCTGCGTGCTTATTGACCCTATCTAGAGGGTTTGCTGGCTTATCAGGCCAAGCTTATGCCCTTGGCCCAAAGGATTTCATGATGCGAGTCCAAGTGTATCTTACTGGGCAGGGGCTATTTTGCCCCAGGTCTAGGGCAACTCACATCCCCTCTTCCAGCAGAATCTTGCTCTAGGTTACGTACATACTGACCCATGTGTATGTGTCTGCCTGTCTATGTGTCTGGGAGCAGGGTTTGCAGGGACACCTGGATACCTCTCCCCAGAAGTGCTGCGAAAGGACCCGTATGGAAAGCCTGTGGACCTATGGGCCTGTGGTGAGTCCATCCAAAGCTCCTTTTGTAACTCTGGCTGCCCTTGCCTCTGGGACTTCTTTCTCTCCTCTCTCCTCTCTCCTTTCCCGTGACTTTCCCCATCTTTCCCCGCCTCCCCTCAGGCAGTTGAAAGTTCTCTGGTTCTCTCTCTAGGGGTCATCCTATATATCCTGCTGGTTGGGTACCCCCCGTTCTGGGATGAGGACCAGCACCGCTTGTACCAGCAGATCAAAGCCGGTGCCTATGATGTGAGTGTTGCTCCTTCCTCCAGGCCCCAACATCCTCTGGCACCCTTCCAGTAAGAGCCAATGCTCAGTGAGGCCAACGATCTGAGAACGACTGCCTCCCATCTTCCTGGCCCACTCAGGTCCCCTGCCACTGTTGAGTACTGGACAGGGGAGCAAGGAGTATGATGGCCAGGCAATGACCACAGTGTGGCTGTGTGACTGGGGGCTCAAAGTGATGGGATTTATCTGGTGGACCCCAGCAGGCAGCAGCACCAAAGTGGCATGAGGAGTAGGGGAGGGACAGGCCCCCAGCCAGCTTTTATGTCTTTTTCTCTTTTATATACATAAATTTTTTTCTTGGAGACAGTCTCACTATGTCACCCTCTGTAGAATGATGTGTCATCACAGTTCACAGCAACCTCTAACTCTTGGGTTTAAGCAATTCTCTTGCCTCAGCCTCCCAAGTAGTTGGGACTATAGGCACCTGCCACAACATCCAGCTTTTTGTTGTTGTTGTTGTTCTTGTTGCAGTTGTCATTGTTGTTTAGCAGGCCTGGATCAGGTTCGAATCCACCTGCCTCAGTGTATGTGGCTGGCACCCTAACCACTGAACTACAGGCGCCGAGCCCATATACATAAATATTAATAATAGCTAACACCTCTGCTTCACTCTTCTGAATGTCTTATATATATTATTACATTTAATCCTCAGATCAATCTATGACACAGTACTGTTACCCCCATTTTGCAGATAGGGAAACTGAGCTACAGGAGGTGACGTAACTTCCCAGATCACAAAGCTAAGAAATGGTATAGCTGGGATTTGAACCCAGGCTGTGTGGCTCTAACATCTATGCTTCTAGGCACCAAGATATTCTACTCATCTATAAGACTGATGTCTATTAAACTGTGTCACATGTTTTATTTATACATATATATGTATATATATATATATTTTTTTTTTTTTTGAGACAGTCTCACTATGTCACCCTCAGTAGAGTTCTCTGGCATCACAGCTCACAGCAACCTCAAACTCTAGGGCTTAAGCGATTCTCTTGCCTCAGCTTCCCAAGTAGTAGTCCCAAGCTGGGACTACAGGTGCCCACCACAATGCCCAGCTATTTTGTTGTTGTTGTTGTAGTCATGTTGTTTGGCAGGCCTGAGTTGGATTCGAACCTGCCAGCCTCAGTGCATGTGGCTGGCACCCTAGCCACTGAGTTACAGGCACCAAGCATCATATGTTTTATATTATATTTAATTCTTGCAAGATCTCAAAGGATGGCTGGAGGATCATGTGATTCCCCAAGTCACATAGCCTGGGAGGCAGAGCCAAAACTTGAACCCAGGCTTTCTGATTCTGAAGTCTGGGCTATAACCACTGGCCTGCTGCTCTCTAGATAAGGCATAGGTTCAGAATGGCAGGGAGGTCTCCTTTCCCTTTGGCCATGTCCTGATTTGTCCAGGGTCCAGAAAGGTCCTTTCATTGAGGAACCCCAACTCCTCCTGGTTGTGGATGTCCAAGTGGACGGGCAGCAGGACCCCTGCCTGCTCCCCTGCCAGTCAGGGGCTGGGGGATCGCAGGGGTGGCTTGGGTCAGGCTGGGCAAACCTGGCCTCTCTGCCCTTTCCAGTTCCCATCACCAGAATGGGACACCGTCACCCCGGAAGCCAAGGATCTGATCAATAAGATGCTGACCATCAACCCATCCAAACGCATCACAGCTGCTGAGGCCCTTAAGCACCCTTGGATCTCGGTGAGCTTTCCCCAGCAGGGCCCCTCCCAGGAAGGTCTAGAGGGCTAGACCTTAAGGTCCAGGCCCTCAGAGTCTTGGCCTTGCCCCAGCCCCTCATGCCTAGCATAGGGTTGAGAGGGTTCAAATCAAGAGACTCTGACCCTGCTGTTATTCTCAGGGATAATGTGGAAACAAGTGGTGTTCTGGGTTGACATCATGACTAGGGATGCTGCTGGCATTGAATGTCTGGTGCCAGGTTGCCAATCACCCTACAAGTCCCCTAGAACAAAGACTCGTCTTCCGCAAGATGCAATCACATTTCCATTAGGACACCCTGCTGAGGACTATCCTTGGGTAGGCCTGCCTTCTACTCACAGGTCTGTCCCCACCTTTCTCCAGCACCGCTCCACTGTGGCCTCCTGTATGCACAGACAGGAGACCGTGGACTGCCTGAAGAAGTTCAACGCCAGGAGAAAACTGAAGGTAACAGGTCCTCACCCTCCACACCTCCAAACTTGGGAGTAGCTCAGTCTGGGTCTCCACAGAGGCCAAGAGACTTACTCACCAGTTCTTTCCTTTGTAGATTCAACACGCATTTATTGAATACCTACTGCATGCTGAAGGATGGGTGGAGCTTGGGGAATGAGCAGTGAAGGGGACCCCAACCCCACCTGACTGAGTTCTTGGTCTGGCAGAGTGCCCACATTTCTGGGGTAGAGCTGAGCACTGTTCCTGCACAAACCCCAAGACGGTGGGAGTGCACAAGATCCTTCCATGCTAGGTCTGGAAGGATTGAGGAAACCTTCCTGGAGCCAGCGGCACTTAAGCTGAGCTCTGATGGATAAACATACATTAGCCAAGTAGAATCAGAATGAGAAGATGCTCCAGACAGTGACCAGCCTGTGCAGAAGTCTGAAAGTGTGAGCATGGCCTCTAGGGGGACCACATGCGGTTCAGAGTGGCTGGGGAAAGCTTTCACAGGTGAGATGTGACTGGACAGACCACAGAGGGGCAGAGACCTCAGCTGCCCAGCACTGGGGAGGAATAGCTAAGACACTCAGACAGTAATCATGGCCCCGAGGAAGCCATTGGGGACCAGGTGGGCCTTGAGCTGTGGCCTCTTGAAGGTCCTTTTGTGCTCTCAGGGCCATGGCAGCTCCTGGCATACCCCTTCCCTGTCCTGTTGGGACAGAGGAGCCATCAGACTGCTGGGCATGATGAGGGGCAGTTGTGGAGGCCTCAGTTCCCTTGGAATCTCCTCACCTGCTGCTCCCAGGCCTAGAATGAAGGCTCAGAATGGGGACATGGGCCTACATGATACCAGGAGAACTGAGTGTCACCTCTATCCTGCAGTAGGAGCTATGTTACAGAGGAGGTCTCAACATGTTGGAATCAGGGATTCTTAACATCATACACCATTAGATTCAGAGTGTCTAAGCCAAGTCCAAATCAGACAGTGTCAGAACCAGAAGGCCCTCATCTCCCAGCTCACTGTTGACAGAAGAAGGGTTTTCCACATTGAGAATACTCCAGGTTGTCTGAGCCCAGAGGCCATGGGGGCATGAGCTAGTCCTAAAGGGAGGTGACCACAGCCCAGGCAGAGGGCTGAGAGGTGGGAGGGCTGAGGGATGCAAGGTCTTTGGCCAGACAGGAAGTTCATGGCCTTTAGGAACCCTTGCCATTAAGTGTCCTCAGTTCATCAGCTTGAGCCAGGACCTATTAATATCTGCTTCTAGATGGCCTTGTCCCAAAAGCTGTACCAGCTAAAGCCTAGCTCACCCCAATGTCTCCAGGCAGGCAGTAGATGAGCTCTGGGCTGGGAATAGTGGACAAGGAGGGGTGGGCAGAGGCTTTGGCTTGTCTCTAATGCAGCACCTGCCTCCCATTCCCTACACCCTCTCCGTCCCCTCTGCATTTCCTCCCCTCTGGCCTCTTCCCCTCTGCCCTCCTTTTGTCTTTGCAGGGAGCCATTCTCACTACTATGCTGGCCACCAGGAACTTCTCTGGTAGGTGCTGGGACCTCAGAGTCCCCAGTACAAGGCTGGGGCATCATCCTGTTGGATATTTGGTACCACATAGATAGGGGGCCTAGGGAGAGTAGGGGCTGCTGAGGACTCCGTGACTGGGGAGTATAGCTTACCTGCCACAAATCTGAACCCAGAAGTGGAAAGAGGTCAAATGTCAGCAAGCCTAGGACCATTAGGACTGGTTAGGGAATTGGTCTGGCTCCCCCACCTTGCAGCAGTGCTGGGGTTCTCAGACAGGTCAGCCAGAGGGATAAGCTTCTAGAATGTTGGGGGCTCAGGTCTAGGCAGGACAGACCCAGGACCAGGAAATAACACTGTTATTAGAATCCTGTGCTAAGTAGTCCCAAGCTTCTGCTCAGGTGACCTTCATGACAGGACAGCAGGAGGACATTGCCACCCTATTTTCTAGATGAAGAAACAAGCTCAGGAAGGTGAGCTCTGAACTTCCCCCACTTCCCACTCCAGGTCACATAGCTAGGAAGAAGCAAAGTCTGAATTCAAAGCAGATTTGACCAACCCCAAAGCAACTGCTGTTTTTTTTTTTTCTTTTCCATTTCAGAATATTATGGGGGTACATACATTTTGGTTACATTGGGGCTGGGTTTTTACCCACCACCTCCGGCATATGGGGCCAGCGGCCTACTCCTTTGAGCCACAGGTGCTGCCCTGTTTTTGTATATTTTAAGTCAAAGTTGTAAGTGGACCCTTCATCCAGAAAGTGTGCAATGTACACATTAGGTGTGGATTTACCCATCCTCTCCTTCCTCCTCCCACCTACTTGAATTCCAGATGAGTTTTGCTTCCATATGTAAAAGATGGCAAGTGCTTTTAACCAGGCTGGGTTCCCAGGGAGTCCAGGGAAGGAGCCTCCCAGGCCCTTGGCCAAAGCAGGCTGGTGAAGGCAGGGAGTGCCCAATTACCTGAGGCATGTGGCCTCAAAGAGGGAAGGGGAAGGGATTATTGTCAGGGCTTAGCAAGAAGCTCCTCTTGGCACACTGGAGAGCACTGGGGCCAGTGCCCGCCAGAGGCTTCTCTCTGGGGAATGCAGGATGCTGGCGGGCACAGAGCAGATATAGATAGCAGATAGAGCAGAGCTCACCCGAGGGGCCCTCTGACTGAGGCTGGGCCAAGCTGAGGAAGCTGCTGCAGACACGTGGTCAGCCCATGGCAAAGGGTCAGTTCCTGAGAAGGGGGCAGCTCTGGCTTCACCGAGTGGTCCTGCGGCCCATGGAACCAGCTGGGAAGAATGAGACCCAGAGGTGGCACACACTAGAACCTCAGAGCTGGGCTTTCCCCACCACACTGAACTGCCTCCCACCCTCTCCCCCAACAAGGATCCAGCCATTCCTTAAACGGAAAGATGAGCTACCCAGTCAGTCAGAGTCTTTTTTTAACAACTGAAGTGCCGTAGAGAACTCTAGTCAGAGCCACAAAATGGTGGCCCCAGAGTTGTATCTAACCCCTTGGTGTGGAGCCAAAGGTATTTTAAAAGTTTTTAAAGTTCTTGGAATGGGTTTCTAGCACTTAAAAATCAGGAGATTTCATAGGAAAAAAACAGTTTTCTGTCATGTCTTGAAAATCAGACTCTGTGTCCTCACTGAACCCTAGTCCTGAGATAGTGGGCTACAGCTGAGAGGGGCCGCCCTCCTTGAGGCTCAAGAGCAAGCACTCCCC